CAGGACAGGTGACCATCTGCCTCGACCGGCTGGTTGGAGGACAGAAAAGAGACACAGACAAACACAGAAGAACTGGTCCAGGACTGGTCCAGGACTGGTCCAGGTGCACCTTCTTCTCTGAAACACGAAACTAAACTAAATCATTTATTGATCTTTGACTGCTCTGTCTCAGAGGAACAGACCTGATCACCTGCAGAGATAAATCAGTGTTACAGATAAGAGCAGTGAGCTCTCAGCAGTTCTTCACAACTAACGGCTGCAGCACACAGGGTTAGAGGTGGTTGAGAGTACGACTTTTTGTGATAACTCAGTTTACAATGTCTGACTGAAACTGCTACAACTTTCCTAACATAAGATGCTCTTATCTGAAACTCTGACATGAAAGGAAAACAGGCTTGTTTTAACTTAGGGAGAGAACAGATCCGTGTGTTCTTGTGATTTCACCAGTTTAAAGTGTCTGCACTTCAGACTGACTCACTGTTACAGTCATAAGGTTGGAGCTGCAGTTTCTTTTTCATGCAAAATCTCAACCAAGCAGAGGTCTCTGCAGGTCATTTTCATGGATTCTCCAATGACCTCTGTGTTTTATACAAGACAAAAACACATAAACTCACAGCCTTACTGCAGAGATGACTAAAAATTAAATATGGTGCAAATAAAGCCTTGTTTAAAATGATGAAATGATCTTTAGAGTTAACATATTTAAACTTAGAGGTTTATTTTGTAAACTGTTGTCATACAAAGGTCAGAACACATTATTATCAGATAAACTGTATGAGTCAGGGATCTGATTTTATTATASTTCAGTCTTTCTGCTCAGTTTATTTTGACTCATGCTCATATTATTGTATTTATTGCTGGTTTGTCATTTTTAGTATTTTTCCTGTCCTTATTTGAAAGAGTTAAATGTTGGAAGTCGTCTTATTTCCCTGCTGCCTCAGTAACGATTATTTTCACACGACTCATCAACCCCTGTGTGTTTAATCTTAGTCTGTTTTCTTCAACTTCTAGTTTATTTAGCTCGCTCCATTTCTTGTAACAAAATGTTTTTTTCTTTCTGGACTCTGTGTTTGGGTCCACATGAAACCACCTGTTGTTACCAGTTTTCTTTTAATCCATTATGTTGGTCAACTTGAACCGTATATAAACCTTATCAGGTGTTTTATTGATGTTCTAATGAAACTTTAATGTATTTTAAGTTTTCTGGTTCCTTGTTGAGAGGGGGCAAAGATTAAAGATGTTGAAATCAGTCCAGCCCTGTTTTTATGACAGCTCAGTTGATAATTAGTCAGCAGAAACGTCTGAGGCTCAGACGTGACACTCGCTGTAAAAACAACACTCATTTCATTCTCTCGTTTAAACATTTAATTTACATATTATCACTAAAACACAATGATCTTGTGTGTTTAGCTTTACTAGTTATAAAATTTTACAAATGCATTAAATTAAAATCAAACTGCATTACGTGTGAGTCCTTATTTAAGCTTGTGAAGTGTAGATAAAGACTTTTATTGTGTGATTTTTGTGCTGCCAAAGTTGTTCACCTCATGTGTTTCTGTTTTTCATGGTGTGGTGGAAGACATCACGGTGACAGAGTAAGTTAATAAATCAATAGTTTTTTTTTGCATAAATGTTGATCTGAAATACATTTATTAAACTGAACTGATCTTAAATATTTTAATTGATTTAATATAAGTAAATAAGCATTAATGAGCTGGAGTTTTATTCTTTTATCATAATAAAAACATTTTTCTATTTCTCAGCAACTGAGTGTAATATTCATTTAAAAAATGAAAAATTGTATCATTTAAAATTTATTGTATAATATAGTGATGTATCTGAAAGRCTTTATGTCAGAGATAAGTTTAAACTGAAGTACATGGACTACAGCTAGTTCAGCTGAGTTTTCCTCAGAGAGGTGAGGGTTCAATTCCACCATTATTCAGTCACAAGTGCAGTCCGTTTATTCATTTAGAATTGGTGTGGGTGTTTAAAACTATAACAAACATTGTTGAAATTTGAGTAGCAACAGTTTTGCAATATTTAAGACAGAAATTTTGCATAAAAAAATGAAAGCCTTTTATTTTACAGTAAATCTTGATTCAGTCTGTTTAAAAAGAAAAAAAAAGTTTTGTTACTGAAGATGTCTTTGCTCTTCCCCTAAAGGAAATTTACATTTAATCCAAAATTAGGGATTGATAACCCAGCGATGGTCCTCACAGACTGCACAGGTATCTCCCATGTTTTTATCCGACCTCGCAGGGGATTCTGATGTTATCAGTCCATGAAATGGACGTTATTAGGYGTTATCAGTCCCATASAATGGCTTCAGAGGGTCCCTACTGTGCCTTCTAGGCTTCAGACTGWVYHGACAGTGCCCCCTAGTGGGTTAATATATCAATGACAATGAATGTGTAAATAACCAAAAGATATTGTGATAAATTACTTGTGCCCATGTTAGTCTTTAACCCTGGTCTGACACTCTACTCATTGCCTTATTGGAAGGCCACATTATACAACTGCTGGAGGGCGGGGTCTTTAGCGCTAACCATGTCATTTGCTCTAAAGTTAACCTTAGTGGCTTTAAGCCTCATTTTAACCAGATAGTGGTTTTATGCCTCATACTAACCAGCTGACAATCAGAAACCATTCAATGGGACRGGGGAACCTGCTGACCGGTACAGCCTGGACAAGCTGAAGCCATTCTATGGGACTGATAACACCTAATAACATCCATTTCATGGGTGATAACATCYGAAGCGAGTGCACCTCGGTAGAATAAGGAAGATCGGCTCCAGGTGACGCTCTGTTCTGCCTCATCCAAACAGACTTGGAGCTGACCCCCAGGCCCCGCCTGTGTGTTCTGAAACGAGAAAACGGGGAGACCTTCGGCTTCAACCTGAGCGTGGAGATGGGTAACTGTGGACATGTGATCAGAAATGTGCTATCAGGGGGTGTCGGGGAGCGCAGCGGCCTTCGAGATGGAGACAGACTTCTGGAGGTCAACAACTGCTACGTGGACGATGCTCCTCACCCTGAGGTCAGAGCTTCTACCAGAGGTCACTCCTGAATACACTGTTCTAATGATTCCCTTTTTTAACGCAGGTGGCCAGAAAGATTAAGCTTAGTGGACAGCAGCTGTGCTTGTTAGTGCTGGATGGGGAGTATTACAAGCAGGCTGTGTCAGAAGGTCAGAACCTCCAGACTCTGGTCAGAACACACAAGCAGGATGACTGCAAACCACCCAGGCTGTGCCACATCACCAAGGATCATGCCTCAGGTCTGGGGATCAGCTTTACACCTCTGGAAGGTAACTCCTCTGGAAATGACTGCAGGTCCAATGTTCCAGATTAGATAGAGTATGTGTCRTGTTGGAGTGACATGCTCCTCCTCTGTCTGGTCCACAGGAGAGAAAGGTCGCTTCTCCGTCAGCCTGGTGAGAGGAGGAGCAGCTGAGAAGGCAGGGGTGTGTAAAGGAGATCACTTGGTGTGGATGAACGGAGCCATGGTGTCCCACCTCACACACTCTGCACTGTCCCGAATGGTTCGTACCATCACAGCAAAATTATTTACAGAAGCATGTTGTAGTGTTTGAAGAAAATACATTTCTGAACATCATCACATTACAACAAAATAAGTATAATGAACAGATGTGAGCATTTCTTCCAGATGTTGGTGTGCTTTTAGCCTGCATGCTGCTACATCCATGATGGCTGTTTACAGCAGATAAAACTGGTTTATATTTCACATCTTTCACACCCTGATGAGAAACAAAGGTTTGAGTCTGTCTTCCCCCAGTGACAGCAGGTGTGTGCCTCCAGTCAGAACCCTGTCCTGTGGACCTTGTGACTCACTGTGTGTCACTGGTCAGAACTGGACATCGGTCGGTCAGGACACCAATAATCATATGCAGTGGTGGGCAGAGCTAATCCAAAAATTAGCTCTGCAATTTCTAAAGCGCTTATAAAAATATTTAAGTCCACAACTTGAAAAGAGATAGAAAAATTAGTAAAAGCTAATTTTAAAGCGCAAGTTCAATTTGACACTTAATAGCTGGCAACAACTGTACAATATATACACAACACTGCCAACTAGTGGTGTATGAACTCTTTTACAACTTAATCCTACAACCGTCGATTACTGGGG